TAGTTCCAAGATATGAACCTACCAAATCTCGGCCCAAACTCATTGAGTTGTTTGACAACTTTGTTCTATCAGTTCTGGAAGAACTTTTCCGTATTCGAGAACTCTTCTTATGATTCATACCCTCTAAATACTTCACTCATTCAAAAATTTTTCATGCAGCCAGCACATCAACAACGACCACCACAACGGTCACTACCACCACTACTCCTGGTATGGAAAATTTTCTCTATAAAGCAGAACTTGAACTATTTTGCAACTTTCTATTTGTGAAGGGAACACTACCTATACATGTGGAGAAAATACCTCGGTTAACCTTACTTGCAGTACTTCGTTCACACTCAATATTTTTTACGCATTTTTTGGCGTATCAAGTTGTTCCAATTGTACATGTGCATACTGTAATTGTTCGGCCATGACGGTCACAACAACGATGAAAAACCGCTGCCAAGGCCTTCAACAGTGCTCTTTTACTGTGAGCGACAGTTTCTTTGGTGATCCGTGCTATTTACACGTTAAAAAATTCACTATTGAATATACTTGTGTTTCGTAGATGAGTCGAGAGTGAGTAGGAGTGGGTGGGTGGCTCTGGACAGTCTCTTTTTACCGCACAACTCAACCTCGTCAATATCCACCCATATTCACGCAACCACCTACCCACAAACACCTGCATACACACACCTGCTCACCCAAACCCACCTACAAATCCATTTTTCAATAGTTTTCAATGAACACCGATGATAGTATATAATCATGTAATCGATTACTAATGATTTGAAATAAAATCCATGATTGTGAATGATATATTGATGGATTATCATGCATTTTTAATCTAATCGATGATCATTTATGACAAAACCCACCGATAATAATCTGTTTCGATGAAAAAATATTTCAATTGATAGTTTCATCGATTTTTAGTCGCTGTTAGTCAATTTTCGGCGATTGAGGTCAAACTAACCAAAAATAATAGGATGTGTTTTGATTACTCCATGAGAATTTCTCACGTAGGTGAGAACAGTCTTGGAGGCATAAAGCAGCAGTGGGTGTGGATGTGAGTGCGGTGGGTGGTGTGGACGTAGACGGTGGTGTGAATGAGGGTGGTAGTGTGGGTGTGGATGGTGGTGTTGGTGTGGATGCGGATGTCGGTGGCTGGGATCTGTGAGTGTGGATATCGATGTGTGCCGTGAGTGTGGGTGTAGTCTGAATATTCTCTTCATTCACACACATACCCACCCACACCCACATCCACACGCACATCCACATCCGTACCCACACCCACCCATACCCCACACCCACACCCACCCACCCCACACCCACACCCACCCACACTCACACCCACACCCCACACCCACAAGAATTTAAAAAGATGTAGTAAGTACAATTGCATTTCGATGGTTAATTGCACTAGTCCCAGAAAAAAAAACGAAGATAAAAATCAATATCCTCACACAAGTGGGTAACAAATGAATGAAAATTTATCATATTATCAGTATGAAAAAAGAATTCCAAGTCGAAAGAAACTTTCGAATAATCCAGAACGTTTTTTTTGTTGAATCTTCTGTGAGCAATCGATGCATATCCAAACATCAATATGAATCTACGAACTGCAGATGTTTGCTTCAAAACTGATTGATAAAAATGGATGTACATAGAATGGTGGAGAAACCTTTTAATCACATCACATACCAGAGAAATTAGGGATTATTTCTTTCTCTTATCGTTTGATATTATCAGATGATTTTGTATTTTCGTTTGTTTCATGTAAAGACTAACATTTGCCATGTTCAAAGACAAGTATTCTCCTTCTTCCAGATATTATTCGATTGAGTATCACGATAATGAACTTTGTTCTGTCATGATGATCTACTGCAGTTTTAAGTACAACTGTCTTTATCAACAAACAAAGATGCGCGCATTAGCCATCAAATAGTGCAAGTTCATTCAATATGAAAGAGCATAGAGAGAATCAATGGTTAGAACACTGAATCGATGACGCTTTTTTAGGTGGTACAAACACAGTTTTCTTGCGAACAATCAGAAAATTACTCTGAGAAAATTTGTTGATCTTGCTCGACTTATGAAATGAAACTATGATTGAATGCGTTCAAATGGCATTAGATGACATGAAACAAAGCAGAATAAAGAAGAAGAATGTTCTATAATAGATGACGAAATTAAGGGCACATCAATGGATATATTTGTCTTTTGTAGACAATCTCATCAGAGCAATGAAA